AATTTAATTAAAAAAATTACACTAAAACATAAGAACTTTTAAAAAGTTTAATTTAATGCTAATATCGATATTTTTTTTCTTCAAAATTTTATGATATTTTTAAATTTATATTTTATTCAAAAATAAAAACATTATCACTTTCTCAAAACCACATAAAATCAATGTTTACTTAAAATTCAAGATTACAAGTAAATTATGCAAAAGTACAACTTATTAAAGATTGATGTTGGAATTCGTATAACTAATTGTGTATAAACATAATCAAATAGAGAATAAACATCTTATTTTTAAAATATAAAAAATCTAAAACATAATTAGAATAATTATCGAGTTCTAACAAAATAACTAATTATTATCTTTATTAAATCAAATATAAATTATTTTGTTATTGTACCTAAATTAAATTATAATAAAAAGTTGAATTAAAGAATTACACTGAAAATGAGGAATTTTAAATAGTTAATTTGATACGAATATCGATATATTTTTTTTATGCATAAAGTACTGTATGTTGATACATATTACTTAAAATTCAAGATTACAAGTAAATTATGTATAAGTACAACTTATTAAAGCTCGATGTTTGAATTGTAAATAATTAATATGTCTATTGTATCATGTATAATTAAAATTAATTAATAAGTTATTTTTATTTGAATTTATTAATAATTAATATTTATTTATATTAATAATAATCAATATTAATGAAGAATATAATTGAAAAAAGTCATAATAAAGTAGCATTTTAATAAGTTAGCTTATGATTATCTAAACATGTACACAAAAAATAAATTAGTTTACGTTTACCATCTTTAAATTTTTGTATAATCTTTTTAACAAATAAATCTTTAGACATATAAAAAATTGTTAAAAGACAGAACAATATTTATATTGCTAGTAAAAATGAAGATTAAATAAAATAAAATAAAAATAAATAAAAACATAAACTAATAGCCAAAGCCCTAGCTAATCTCACGACGCCCCCATCTTCAACCGTAACACGCCTGCCGTCGTCGTCACCCATCACACACATGCTGTTGTCGTCCCTACCAGCCCAGGCTGCCGCTGCCGTCACCATCGCCATCGCCACAGGCCCACATCATCGGTCGCCTCCGTCTCCGGCCAGACACTAGCCGACGTCGTCGACAGATCGACTTGGGTCGAGATTCTAGTTCAATTTTGCAACGAAGTTTTCAGGTTCGTGATTCTAATTCGATTTTGGTAACAAGTAGCCATCAATTTCTAGTTCGATTTCGCAGCAAAGATTTCAGGTTCAGATTCTATTGCCCCCTGTGTATTCCACGTCTTCCTTTCTTCTGTGATGAAACTTCCAAACAAAATAAGGGACCATAGACTCAATTCTGAAAGCTCTTTGGGTAGAATTTGTTTCTGAATATGGGTTTCATATTAATTTTTTGTTTGAAGGTGGCCGGAAAAGGTGGGTCGGTGTACGGAATTTGTATATATTTTAAGAGACTTGGACATACCATGTTAAAGGGGTGTTTGGGATTTTGCTTATTTAAAACAATTTATGTTTTTGACAAAAGTGTTTATTAACTTATTTAAAGTTAGTAAGGTTTAACTTCTTTAAAAACTTTTTTATTATTTGATCCAAACACTCAAAAATGTTTATTATTGGTGTCAAACCGAAATAAATTAATAAGTTTATTTTATAAGTAATCTCAAACATCCTCTAACCTAATCTATGGTTTAGTGTTGAAAATGTTGTGTATTCTCTCAAAATGGAAAAGGTGTATTTGGGTTTTTATGAAATTTTTCCTTAAAAAGAATTTATCATTATAACATCTGCAAAATTGGTTGGTTTGTTTCGAAATTTATTCACAGGAATTTTCTTATGGGGCTTCTAAAACCCTGAATAAAAGGATTCAAAGATAAAATCGGAGGTGGGAAATTTCACAGCAATGGCTTCAGCTACCGACGGCGGCGGTGCCGGCGACGGCAGTGGTGGAGGCAATGTAAATTTGTCTCCTCTTCTGCGTACGTTAGCCAAAGGGGCAGCTGTAACCCTAGGTGGGATCTTCTCCATCACCATGATCTCCTCCACTGCAATTACATTATTCACACAGCACAAAAAGGTAAACAACATCTTCTCTTTTCAAGATTTGTTCATTTTAAGGGGTGTTGGGATTGCTTATTTGAAACAACTTATATCAACTTATTAGAAGTCTAAGTCAGAAGGGTTTAACTTCTTCCAAAATCAAAAAACTCTGTATAAGTTGTTTATCCAAACACTCAAAAGTGATTAATTTTAAGATATGAGTGCAGGATAAAATTGGATCATCATCATCATCTATGAAGAAAAAGAATGCAAGATCATGTGATGTATGCAGAGAGAAAGGGTTTTACATTTGTAAATTGTGCAATGGAAATGGTACAATTGAGTGGTCTCCATTGTATGATCCTCTCTTCATAAATCCATGTCTTTGCCCTACTTGTGATGGACACAGGTCAGTTCAATTTTCTCTTTGATGGTTCTTTCCCGACTGAACGTGACTCGTTAGAGTCACAGGTAGGTTGGTGAAAGAATCGTGGAATGTTTTAGCATTTTAATTTGACGTGGGTAGTTTAGTAATTTACCAAACTTGTTCCAGTATTGCCATATGCACCCTATGTAAATTAGAATCATTGGAATTGTAAAAAGCAACTCTTGGTGTTGATATGTGTGAGGAGGATAGTAACATGTAGGGGTGTATTAAACTTACCCCGGTAAAGAAATGCACCTTATCCCATTCAGTCATGTCTAGTCTCGGACTGATTGTCCCACCAGATATGGGACAACAAGTTCGTTTGATAGATACACGTTGGAGATGTAGGAACTAAAACAACTACGATAAACTTTGATTTGGAATGAACTATGTTCGACCGTCTGAAATCATGGTATCTATAAAAAGGAGAAAATGGTTAATGATAGTTGAATTTAACAGTGAAATCGTGATATTGATTGTAGGATTCAACGATGTCTTAATTGTTTGGGGAGTGGATACATTCAACAAGCCAAAGGTATGAAAATTTGTATCTTTTGTGTTTTGTATATAATACTATCTTGTTCCCATGTTTAAAGTTCGTTTTTTTGTGCACTGTAGTTTGTATACATCCTACCCCTCAAATTGTTCCTATGCTTGAAGTTCGTTTTTTTGTGCACTAAAGTCTGTATACATCCTACCCCTC